GAATGCGTAATTATTTAAGCCCAGTCATARAGAAGAGCCTAAATAGTCTCATTTACACCATGCTGCTCTAGCAAGAAGTGTGTGGTACCTCAAGGCAAGGCCTGTAAGGGACAGAGCATCTTTTATTAGGCCAATGGCACAAGAAGCTGCTATCCCTGTCCGCAAATCCCGCCTCTCTTGGACCGCACTGGAATCACCTTGACAGGGCCCCCCGATTTTGCTTCTAGTGTCTTTGTCCTGTCTTTAAAGCCTGGGGTGAGGAGGAGGAGGACGAGGAGGAGGAGGGCTGCCCTCTTCCGAGCGCTGCGGGTACGTCAGGTTAGCGTCGCCTTTCGTCCACTTGATCAAAGCTGGTGTGAGAAACACACTGAAATCTTGAGCTCACAATAACCCTAGAACCCCAAAATTCCGTTAAAATGGAAATTGGCTCCCAAAGCCGCCGGCATGTGACTGGGTGCCCCGTGCTCTGGCTGTCCCTGCTAGAGCAGGAGCTGCACTGGATGAGCTCCAGGGTTCCCTTCCAACCTCCACCATCCCGGGATTCTGGGATTCTGTGAAATGGGAGCCTGCTGGTGGAGGGAGAACCTAAATTCAGTGCTGGGCTTTCTCCCGGGCAGTGCTGTTGGTTTAACCCCTCCGCRGGTTTGGTTTCTGGTTTAACGCAGGCGGCGCATTGGGACGGACAGAGCCCCGCTTCGCTGCGCTCTCCTGCAGGTGGCAATCCCTCCCCACCGACACGCGCCGCATTTCCACGGGCTGCAAAACCCCAGGTCGGTGATTTAGCCATTTTAACCAAGAAACACAAATCTTCGGTTTATGAAGAGCTGCCCCCGGAGCCAGGGCTCTGCGAGGAGCCTGTGGCYGCTCCAGGTCCTGCGTTTTGACCCGCTGCTTGGTCGCTTTGGGTTTCACGTGTGCGAGGCTCCCGTTTGAGCAGTGCGGACTGGTGGCACGAGGGCCTGCCTGGCTCTGGTTCTCGCTGTGTGCAGTGCCCTCCTGCTGCAGAACCCGCTCAAACTGGAGATCCCAGCGTGACACCCTAAACCCGGGCCTGTTCCTTCCCTCCGCCGCCCCTAACCAGAGCCAGTCCTGCTGCACGTGCCCCATCCTGGACACCTGAGCAGCTCCGTTTCGTTCCCAGTTTTTGCCCCAGGTGCTTACACCACAGCCCAGCCACACGTACTAACGCACACAAGCACAAGGTCTTGCATGATTTGCTTCTGTTGCTGTTTAGGGATAACTTTGCCCCTCACGAGAAAGGAGAGCTCACGGCAAAGGGGAAATCCTGACGAGAGGTTTTACACATTGCTGCAAAAACCTCCAAGCGACCGTCCACGCTGCTTCATGTGGTGAGGAGGTCATCGTCCTGGATGGCACCCGAGAGCCCGTACAGAGTCATCAAAGAGCGAAACACTGCAGCTGCTGAGGGTGGTTTTAGGTAGAGTCTGTGCTCTCGGAGATGCACTTGGGTGCTTTCACCCCAAAACTTAACCAAACCTTGCAAGGATTCTCCATGCGCCGTTCACCACAGCAGCCCCTTGCAGATCCTCTTGCTGCAGTCGATGCTGCTGYACAACAAACCCCAGTGCAGAGAGTCATCGTGAGGAGAGGCTGTCTTTTTTAAGGCGGTTTTTCCTCTTTTTTGGGGACAACTAAAGCCCTACCCTGTGAGCTCAGCGGTGGGATTGCTATAAACCCACTTGGCAGCAGCCCCATTGCGTCTCGCGGGCTCGGAGCCGCAAGCTCCACTCGGAGTGACCGTGACCTCCAGATACCGAGTGACTTCACATTCACACCCGCCTTTGAAAATGCCAGGCACTATTATGGAATATYGGTCCTCTTCAATTCCTCCTAAAATCCACGGGAAAAACCCCACAGGCCTCATTTCAGACCTGAAACCACAGCATGGGACATTTTACAGGGCTCTTAGGGCAAACACATGAAAATGTTAGTTTGTGGCATGAAATMCACGTTTGCTTTCGATTTAAAATGGATAGGAATGGCCATTAGCAATTGAGTCTCCACTAGCTCCATTGCTACCGTTTGCTGACACTATTTTCTGGTTTTGCTCCGGGGTTCATAGGAAACGCTTCCCAGGATGCCTGCAAAATCCTATTTAGAAATAAGATGACTTTTTTTTCCCGTGACTTTAATGGCAAAGCTCTGGAGATGTATTTGATGCCGCTCCGTGGTGTCCTACCAACTGCTGCGTCACAACACACTGATAAATAAAGGGCATTAAAAATAGCCGGGTACTTGTGCTGGGCGACGGAGCAGCCGTGGCGCCGGCGACCAGGGCCCTGCCCCGCCGGGCAGTCAAGCCCCGGCCCCCGGAGGCTCCCGGGGGCTCCTGGAGGCTCCGTTTCTCTCTCTGGAGCATCTTTGGCAGCGCCCTCAACGCATGGGCCGGTCCCGCCTGCGTCCCCAAGCCCCAGGCCCTGGAGGTGAGGCCCATGCTCCAAACCAGGGCAGCTCTTTAGGAAAATAAGTAACACCACGAAGCGGGGCAGCCTCCGGCCTTTGATTTTTATTGTTGCAGGTGAGAAAAAACCACCCATCGCYGCTGGTCGTTGTCCTGACGCTCACAACGCGTTTTTACTCTGGGCTCCCACATCCCGTTCCCCAGCAGAGCAGTTTTCAAAGCAAAACTGCTGCTTCCATAGCCACAGTAATCAGAGTCCTGCAGGTTCCCGGTGAAGACACTCCAGTGAACGCAGCGACCCGTGTGAAATGGCTTCCAGCTTCCGAGCACGTGAAGCTCCGTGTCCGCTGAGGGAAACCCCGGCGGGGGTTGATCCCTGCGGCTGCCCGGGTCGCTCGGCTGCGGCAGCAGCCACATCCACGCGAGCCGGCGAGCGGAGCGCCCGGGAGCGCAGCTCCTCAGCGCCACGCTGCCCGTGCCCCGCGGGACCCCCGCATCCCCACGTCCTGCCGCTCGGTCCCCATGGGTCCCCCCGCATCCCCACGTCCTGCCGGCCGTGCTGCCCCTGCAGGGCCTCAGCACCGGGTGCTCTCGGCTCCTTCCCCCCTGCTGTGGCCGCTGGGGGTGCCGCGGGTGCCCGTGGGGCCTGGCCGCATCCCGCGGGATCGCCCGCTCCTGCCGGGATCCTGTTGGGACTGTTCCCGCCATGGCTAAAAGTGCTGAGCGTTACTTGAGGTATATGAATAATCCACGGCGCCCGACACGAGCCCTCTGCCTCCCTCGTGTCCTCTCCGCAGGCAGGAGCAGAGGCCTCGCCGGGACCCCGGTGCCCCTGGCTCCGTGCTCCAGGGATCCCGGTGCCCCTGGCTCCATGCTCCAGGGATCCCGGTGCCCCTGGCTCCGTGCTCCAGGGATCCTGGTGCCCATGGCTCCATGCTCCAGGGATCCCGGTGCCCGTGGCTCCGTGCTCCAGGCACCATCTCCTCCCGCTCCATCCTGCTCCACGGAGGCCCCGCGCTGGGCGCAGCACCTCGCAGGATTTAGCAGATCACTCGTTAAAAGAGTAGAAATAATCCCGACGGGAAGCGCRGTTAGACACAGACCCTTGAGTTCCTAAGTTCAGTAGTTGCTCTTTTACAAATGAAGCTCATGCCACWGTGCTGGAGAGCACTGGCAGAGCCAGGGAAGGTTTCGCTACACCAGCTATTTACACGTTTTCAATTTTAAAAAATGGACTAGTTTGATTAAATAAAGTATAGAACATTTCTTCCATATACAAACTCCTGTTAGTGGATTAGTTAAGGTGCTSAGAAGTGTGGGTGAGAACAGAAGCTACAGTAGCTCAGTGGTGTTTCCATCTATCTGCAGAGCAGCGCTGGCTCCCCGGCTGCCCCTTCCCATCGCTTTCCAGAGGAAGCCGGAGCAAAGCGCCCGGAGCCCTGGGAGCATCTGCTCTTCCAGGAGTGATAGTGGCCAGGTAGGAAACACACACGTGTGGAACCTAGTGCCACAGGAACCAAGGAGCCCTTTGTCCCTCGCGTGTAGGACCACCTGCACCAGCCCATTTAAGCTGGGTTTATTTGAACACAGCTGAAGTTTCCAGTGCAGTTTTGTTCAGATCTGGGCCACAGAGCACAAATTTCCAGTATGGAAACTGGAACTAATACACACAGTGCTCTTCCTGCTGCAAGCAGTGCACAAACCAGCCATCTCTTTCCCTTCCCTGCGAGAAGGCAAGTGGCAGCATTTCTTTTCTCTCTTTGTTAGCAGTGGGAGGCAAGGCCACGGAGAAGGGCAGTGGCCTTGCYGGGACGCTGCAGCCGGTGGGTGACAGGCAGTGCCCTGCTCCTYGCCCTGCCCGGCACCACCCCGCTGCTCCCAGTGGGCTGGTCAGCAACCTCAACACTATGAGGTTGCTGAATGCGTCGTGTGGGGCCCCACGAGTACCAAGAAACTTCCCACTTAGCCTGGTGCAGCAGAGGGAAAACTTACACGTGAGGAACCAAATAAGGAGAATGTGTTTACCAAAATTTTATCTTCCAACCAACCAAAAAAATATCCGAAGTGGCTCTCACTCGGCAGGTCAAATCCCTTCCCGTTAGTGTTCCCCAGGAGCTGTTTGCTGCCTCGGGGCCAAATTCCGCCTGYGGTTCCCCCGTGGCCAGCGCTGCGGGCCAGGGGCAGCACGCAGGGACACCCTCGCGTTGCTCCCCTCCGTGCAGCCCACGGCAGCGCAGTCTGGAGCCTCTCCCAGGGGCTGAGGGCTGAGCAGTGTTCTCTGCCTTTGAAGATGCTATACAAAAAGAAAGGAATGGATGACTTGACTTGCATTTGTAAACTTAGCATGGACTGTCACCTTTTCCGCTGTGCGCTTAGGCTCCAAACCGGTCCCCAAGATTGCAAGGCAAGGTTGTTAAGGCAGTATAAGAAACCCAGTATTTCCTTCGCACCTCTTGATTCCCTTAAATGTATTTCTAAGGCATCAAAAGGTGCATGCGGTGCGTGCTCGCCTCCTCAGGARAGGCATTCGGGATGGGCTAGGAAAGCGGATGCTCAAGGAGAGCGCGGGGCCGGCCGCGCTGCGGGGAGGCAGGCGGGCGCCGCTCACCACCGCTCCTTCTGGTAGCCCTCTGTCTGCACCATGTCCCCGGGGTGCTCCGCGATGCAGGCCCCGTTGATGTCGCCGAGCGGCTTGTCWGGAAGATCCTCGGGTTTTGTGCAAAGCTGCAGCGCCCTGGAGATGAAGACATCCAAGTCGAACTCGGGGTCCGTTGCAGTGCCTACCTCCTTGGATTCCTTGTGGAGATGGTGAGGAGAAGAAGGCAGGCTCCGTTCTTGCATCTCGGGAAGGGGACTGGAGCACTCAAGCCCCACCTGTGTGCTCTTCACCCACTGAGCGATCTCCAGGAAGAGGTTGGAAGGTTCTTCTTCCAGAGCAAGTTCGGCTGTAGGCGCTATGGTGGCTCTTTTCCAGTGGGATAAATCTAAAATCAGTTTGGGCTCTGAGTAATGATGGGGCTTATTGTCTCTCCACAGCAATTTGTCCAAATAGGAAGGTGACCCCACTTTGTAATCACACGATTTCCCACAATCGGCATCGAAAACTCGGTCCATTGATGAGTGCGATAGCTCCAGGAACCTCTCAGAGCTGCTCTGTGAATATTTCCGTGGATCAACTTGTGCTTCCTCAGCAATGGATTCAGACCCTGCCCGTGGGTCTCGCTGGACCTCGTCCATGTCGTGGTATTTATCGTGTCTCCATTCCAAATCAGAGGAGAGGCTGACCTGATACCTGAGAGAGACAGGCTTCTGTTAGACACGCAGCCCGGGGCTTCCTTAGAAACACCAGTGCTCACGCAGGTGTTCACACTGCGACCTCACCTGCAGATCTCAAAGTTCCCCAAAACTCAGATTCAACCAAACCACAGCAAAACCTTGTGCAATATCACAAAATTTTTCCTTGTGTGTTAAGGCAAGGGTCTGCGGAACATATCAAGAGAACATGCCCAAACTGCCTGGAGGGGACAGTAATGGGAATAAAAGCCAGTGGGCCAAATTGTCTGGCCCTTCATTTAACTGGTTCTCACATTCCCTCCATTTAGGATTAAACCATGATTAGGTAATCTTGCTAATCAAACTGTAGGTTGCTTATTAGGAGTTGGTCACAGCTCAGAAATGGTCTCCTCATCCACTGCAACAGAAGTAAGAGGTTAGCTTCAGCCCCCACAAGACGGGACACCACCAGTTTATGTCACGGTCTGAGGGCATCCCTGAGCTCGCACCTAACTGAGCAGTCGCTCCTAAAGCCGCTCGTGACGACCTCCACTGCAGTCACCTGCAACACTCACGTTCTGACACAGTTTCCAGGGTGGCCAGATACTCAATGGCTCCTAATTGACCTGCCTTTAAAAGGTGCCTTGTCCCATGCTTTGGGGCTGTGTTTTTTGGTAGGGAAATGCTCTTGACATGTCCCATAACACACAGGGGAAACCATATCCCATTTCTGAAACTCTTGGCTTGTGTGGCAAAATTTACGGGGCAAATCTCTCCCGAGGGTGTGAGGACTGACTGCTTGTGCTGTCACCCCATGAAATGCAGAAGCAGAGAGGTGAAAGGGTGGCAAGGAGAGCCCCAGCAGGAGGGTGGCTGCTTTGCTCACTGTAACTGGCAGACGTGCCGAGAAAAGCTTCCAGGCTTCCTCTTCATTTAATTTACTTGGTTGTTCCCCTGAAACTTGCTCCCTCTAGCAGAGAGATTAATAGTAGCAAGTGAATGGGATTCCCTTAGATTTTTTGAACGCTGGTGAGACACAGTGGATTGATGAGGTGAAACACAGTAGATTAACGAGGTCTGGAGACTGGACCACTCTACCACGAGGCTACAGGTATCCTGAACCATGGACACTGCTGAGCCTGAAGGAGCTCCACAGAGAAGGGAACACAGACAATTCCCAGCTACCTCCATSCTAGCCTGCGCTGCTCACTGGGAAGGGCCTAGTAATTATGATAATAATCTAGGACATAAGAGACTTCAAGTCTTTGATCTACTCTAAACCACCCACATGACTTTCAGCAAACTATTTAAAATTCAATGCAGCATGGATTTTTTTCCCCAAGAACCCTGTAACTGTGGCCACTGGGGCTCATGCACCCTGAAAAGCGAGAGATACAGAGCTCCAGATCCGGCCTGATCCCGGAACGCTGCAAGAATTGCATTACCCTATACCTAGTATTAATGTACAGGAGATGGAGGGAGAGTCATAGTGTCATTTAAACTCGTGCAACTCAGCTGAAGCCAACGCAGCCTGTTCATAAAGCCAACAGCAGAGAAGCACCCAGTAACCTGAACGTGCAGACCCCAAAGTGGAAATCAGTGACAAAATATACACGACCTTGGCAAGGTGCCAGCTGGAGTGAGACTCGCCACATGGCATCAGTGAGGAAATTCGGTGTCCTTTGTGGGTGCAGAGCATGTGGTACTGAACCAAATACTGTACCTGTCCCAGTTAGACATCTGGCTCTGGTTGGCTTCCATCAGTAAAATGTCATCAATCTCGTCCTCGATGCGGAACGGGTGCTGAGACACCGGTTCATCCTCCGGGCAYGAATAGGGACTCAGGTAAGGGTGCTGCAGGCCCATCTCAGCCGTCAGGCGATCCAGCGGGTTAAACGTCAGTATCTTCTCCAGAAAATCAATAGCTGTGAACCACAGAGAAACAAGAGGCGCTGGTTCCTCCCAGTAAGGTTGGCTGGCTCCCCAGGAAGAGCCTGAGCACCCCCAAACACCCGCGGTTGGGAGGGAAGCAGCGGCTGGGTAACCCGCACGCTGGCCCCGCCGTGTGCCTGGTGCTCTCGCCCCGTGGTGCTCTGTGTTTGCAAGGCAACAGCTTGGCAACCTGCAGCTTTTAGTCCTGTTAGCAAYGCAGAGCACACAGGATGCCCGTTCTGCCCAGCGCGGGCATCCAGAGCTGGCCTCACACCCGACCACATCCACGTGGGTATCCCGGATTTGAGTCCAGGCTCTCGGATCCACTCTACAAGCACATTCCCTTTCAGCCAACTGCTTCCACGTTTGTGCAGACGGCAGAAGTGGAATTGGACTGGGAGAGCAACTTTTAAAAAGTCCTTGGCATGACCAACACTCTGAAATTATTTTGCCTGTTAATATTTAAAGAATTCTGACTGCCTAAAATTATTTTACAAAGATAGTGGAGAGTGAACCTTTTTGATGAGGAGGTGGAAGGGAATTAAGTACAATTAAAGTGGCTACAATTAAATACAAGCACACAAGGTTTGTTGGGATTTTTTTTTGAGATTCCTTTTGCTCAGGTTATGTGAGAAGATCAAATCCTGCTATTAAAGACAAATACTTTCTGAGATGATTCTTGGTCTGTGGAAGAGCCCCTCAGGGTTCAGATAATGCAACTAGGAATGTGCCTTTCCTCAGTTAGATCTTTTTATTGTATCCCCAGAAWTACCCCCAATAAAAATGGAATTGTATGGACTGGACTGTTCCTTTATGCTAGAGAATTTCCAGGGGTCTAAAACCACTCAGCAGAAAAGACAGGCCATACCTATTGCCTCAACGCTTAAATATTAACCACTATCCAATTGTCTCCCACTGGATTATTTCATTGCCTGGATTAATTAAGTCGGAAGGAATCAATCGTTTCAGAAGGTCAGTGACTTCAGGCAGGAAGCACGGGGGAACAACGTATTATGAGTTCAGGTCACGCAGGCAGGACAATTTCAATGAATTATGCACGCGCTGCAGGTGACCTTTCTTCCCGCAGTAATGACGGGGGATAAATCCATTCATCCTTCCTGGAAGCTGACGCAGTCTCTGGATACCCGGTGCTGATGAGTATCAGGGCTGCCGAGCGCCTCGGACGGCCCCGCTTACCAGGGCGGGTTGTGCTCGGGAGCACGAGCAGGGCCCTGCACTGGGAAGCAAAGCCCCGGGACGCGGCGGGCCCTGGAGGGCTCCTGTGCTGCCTCGCTGCCTGCGGCTGCACCCGCGCTGCTGCTCTGGTGCCTCCCGGCGAGCGCGGCCACCTGCACAGCTGCCAAGGCCCGAATTCCGGCCCCAAAGCTGCAGCTGGCAGCCGCCTCGCCACGACACGGATCAGGTTTAGCTCTAGCCAAAGGAGGGAATTCATTGAAGTGGTGAGCACTCATTCCAGGCCACTAYAGCCCGGACACAAGCGATTCCCAGCTCCAGTCACACCAGAGTGCTCTGACAAAGGTTTTGCCTCTAGCAACCATCTCAGGGAGTTCAGACATTTGCAGCGTAAAGGGATTTATTTTCTTGCAGTATCCGATTTCATTCATCCAAGAAGCACAAGAACAAGGCTTTGAAACAAGTTCTGGGCAGCAGTCTCCCAGCTCGGGGAGAGGCGTGTGAGCAGTGCAAGGCCAAGCGGGGACGGRACGCGCCTGGGAGGGCGCCCGAGCCTGGGAGCTGCGGCTGAACGCACGGGTCCCGCACTGGGTGCTGCTCCTTCTCTTCCGCAAAGCCCAGCCAGGCCCCCGGGCAGCCGCCAGCCGCGAAGGACGGGGCTCGTGGCAGCTCCTGCCTCCCTCACACTTCCTCCACCTCCTCAGAGCATCTTGTGGGCATCCCCGTGACAAGTCCCCTCCAATTCCCCAGCACTGGTGCACGTTCCCTTTGAGAACAACCCCTGTCACCTGCTGAGGAAGCASGTTTGCACACACGGCAGCTGGCAGCAGCGTGACCACAAGGACGTTGCGACAGAATCYCAGGATGGTTGAGGTTGGAAGGGRCCTCTAGAGACCATCCAGYGCAGCCCCTGCTCCAGCAGGGACACCCAGAGCTCGGGGCACCCGGTCMCATCCCGGCGGGTTGGCAGATCTGCAGAGCAGGAGCCTCCGCAGCCTCCCTGGGCAGCCTGGGCCRGGGCTGGGCACCCTCACCCCAAACAAGTTCTTCCTCACGGCCACATGGAGCTGCCTGCGCTGCAACTGGCACCCACTGCCCCTTGGCCTGGCACTGGCCACCACCGAGAAGAGCTCGGCCCCTTCCTCCCTCCATCTACATCCTCCCCTCAGGTCCTTGGACACATTGACCAGGTCCCTCTCACCCTTCTCTTCTCCAGGCTGAACAGGCCCCGCTCGCTCAGTCTCTCCTCACACGAGAGCTGCTCCAGSCCCTTCCTCATCCCTGTCGCTCTGCACTGGCCCCTCTCYAGMAGCTCCACRTCTYCTTGTGCTGGGGAGCCCAGAGCTGCCCCCAGTGCTGCAGGTGTCAAAGCCACCCCCAGGTGTCAAAGCCACCCCCACACGCTACGGTACCTTCGCTGTTCACCTCGGGGAGCAGCTTGCGCAGGGGCTTCCTCACTTCCCACGTGCTGCTGATGAAAGTGGGCATCACCCGCAGCAGCTCCTCTTTGTCTTCCTCGTGGATGACAGGGATCGTYTCCAGGATAAGCTGCATCTGCTCCAGCTCGTGCCCACCTGAACAAGCAAAAACAGAAAAAGATCCCTGCAACAGCTTTTGGGAAGGAGTTTTTTCAAAATTCTTCTCCTTGAAGACGCTTTTATCCCCATATTCCTACATATCCCCCAGAAGAGGCTCTCACCCAGGGACGAGGCAGAGTGGAACGCAGCCAAGTGCCTAATTAATGAAGGTTAATCCTATTCTTTAGCACAGCACTGAATTTGACCAAGAGCTCTGCAGGCAATTTCCAGCTTCTTATGTGCACAAAGAAGCTCCAGGCATGACTACCAGCCGCGTTATCGATCTTCTGTCCGCCAGCAACACGGGTATAAATATTCTGTGCGCACAGCCAGGACTGTCCATTAAGGCAGTGAGGTGTCCAGAGCAGAGGAACTGAGGGGGATTTTCACACTACCACGTGTGTTCCTTGCTGTCCGACCGACCGTTTTCAGGCAGCTTCGCTCACCAGCGGCGTGGGAGGCCCATGCTAGCGGAAGGAGCCTCCTCATCGGCAGAAATTGCATTGAGAAAACAGAATTTTGCAGAATGGTGAAACTAGAGATGACAAATAGGGAACAAGTGCTTCCCTTCCTCAGGCTGATTCCCAAACTGGGATCAAAATGACTGAAAAGCACAGGAATAGGATGCGAGGCATCGGTATCACACTAGAGGATTACAAGCTCGGTGTCAGGCGTGTGGTGCTGAAAGTAAATTCTCCGCCTAGGCTTGCAGGCAAGTCTAGCACTAACACCCCAGCCCTCACAGACTTCCCCGCGTCCAAGCGATCCTTCGGAGAACGTCCCCACACGGCTGCTGGAGCCGAGCAGGGCTCAGGCTGTTCCCACCGAGCCCTTCCAGGAGACAGGACTCTCCTCTCTCTTCTGCCTCTTTCACTGGTGCTGCTTTCGGACACGCAAAACCAAGAGCTTCCAATAAAAATGCTGCAGACCATTCCTAAAGAAACCCCCAAAGGACTACATGGTTTTGACGCTCAAGTTTGGATCTCCAGCCATTAACTGGATCTCCTGGCTCACGTGGGGGCTGGTTAAGCCCTGGCAAACCAAGGGAAAGGCGGGAGGGGACGATGGCCGCAGCAGCGTCCGTCCCCAGCGTGACTGCCGCGGCCTCTTGCACAGCGAGCAGCCTCAGCAGCCCTGCCCTGCACCAGGGACGGGATCCCTCTCAACTGCAGCAACGCGCGATACCGACTTGCACTTCTTACTATTGCTGTTGAAAGCAGCGATGAAAAACAAGTGTTTTGAACACCCATTTAATCTCAGCTGAGGCAGACACCTAAGAGAGGCGGGTGAGCTGCATCCTGCACCTGCCCTCCTCTCTGCTTGACCATGAACAGAAGAGCTTGAAGGGATGGGGTGAGTTACCTGCAAGGCAGGGACTGGGAAATTGCTGGGAGGGGAAACTGAAGCCAAGGGGGAGGAAGGAGAAGGGGGCAAACAGCAGTACAGTCCTCACGATCTCTGAATGAGCCTGACTCTTTAATTTTCCACGGTCACAAAAGGGAGACAGAAGGTGCAAGGGGATGTGGGGATGCAACGGGCGGAGCGGCTGCATGGAGCGTCGGCGCAGGGCGCTGCAGCGCGCAGAGACGCTCCCGGGGAAGCGCTCTTCTCTATTATTAATGGAGCTAATTATTTATTTACAGAACCCTGCGAGCAGCTGCTTATGGAACGTGCTAGATCTTGTCATTCGAAACACTAACGGGTGATGGCAGCGGTAACAAAGCAGCCGCATCGTGGGGTGCTTGGGGGAGGCAGGGAGCTCTCTGGTGGCCAGCTAGGGTCTGCTCCCTCCTCGCACAAGCCGGCCCAGGTCCAGCTTGGAGCTAAGAACTGCCCCTTTGCTGCCCGCGGTGGCACTTTTGGAAATGCGCTGAATAAAGATTTGGTTTGCAAGAGCACTGGAATTTATGCTGTGCTGGTAAATCATACACTCCTTCCTAATGCTTTCTGCTTTGTTTTACATTCCTAGTACCTGCCCACGTTGGAATCCTGCAACTTGCCAAATTTGCACAAAACTAGGGTCAAAGCTGGGGAGACCCATGAAAATCCCAGCTCCAGGCCCTGAGGAGTAGCAGTCACCCACACAACGATGCCCATCTCCCATCTTTCTCTTTAATTCCTGCTATAGATAAAATCCCCGACCTCAGGGTCCAGAGATAACAGCATAAAAGTAAACTAAGTCATTGATGTGACTGAAGAACAASACCTTTCTGCTAGATGCTACTATGGACAAGCCCAGGTGGCTGTGCAGCATTTTAGGGCCCACATGTCTCTCTGCAGCCCGGGAATGSCTCGCAGCAAACACGATGGAATAAGTGCATCGGGCTTGCTGGAGGAGATGGGATTCTACAGGAGGGTTTGACACTAATTCGCTTTTTACTACTGCTTTCCCAGCTATCAGTGAGGAGGCTGCAGGGCGACGCGGTGCTGTAGTCGGGCTCTTCACAGCAATCAGCTCCTGGTGAGCTCCTTATCGCTCCCGACGGGAATCTGCTCTGGCTGCCATCGTGCACTGGCATTAAAATGTTCTCCCTCAAAGAAAAGGCAGATATTCTATGATTCTATGATATTCATGATAGCAGGCACAGCTTAGATCTGCTGCACAGAGCACCAACCTCACAGTACAGCACCACRTTATTCTGTTCTCCATGCTATCATACTCTTGTAGGCATCTTCTCTCCTAACAAGAAGCTTCTATTCTTCGTTGAAAAGCCAATAAGAGAAAAAGATGTTGTTGTTTCAGCAGAATTGCTCTTTTAYCTTTTTTTTGGCTTGTGTTTCCAGCTGCACACTGTTCCTGGCACAGCATCTTGCACAAACGTGACGGCAAGCCCAGCAGATCACACACAGACCCAGGCACTGCACAGTGGAGACAGATCTAACCGCACAGGGGAGACCCACAGTGCTGCTCCAGGTGGTCCTGGCTGTCCAGGAGAGAGGAATTCCCTCTGCTGGGCCACATTCCCACCCTGGACAGGCCTGGGTGGCAAGGGAAGAGGGAGGGAAAGGCAAACCCATTGGCCACGTACCGGCAAAGAGCATCCTTCCCGTGAGCATCTCGGCCAGGATGCAGCCGGCCGCCCACATGTCGATGGCCTTGGTGTAGTTGTTGGGCGAGAGGAGCAGCCGAGGGGAGCGGTACCACTTGGTCACCAAGCCCTCCGAGAGGTAACCCTGCAAGAGCAGAAACAGAGACATGAGTAATGTCACAGGACAGTCCTTACACCCCTGCCCTTGGCTGCCGAGCGTTCTGCTGAGGGGTGAGCCTGGCACACACAATCCTCAGCACGCAGGGCTCCCGTTTTACCCAGAAAGAAGCCCGAGGCAGATTTCTTTACTTATTTCTTTACAYATTTCCTCAGCTGCCAAACGTCAGGTGAAGCGGATCCTCCAGCAATTTCACTTTGTTGTAAGAGGACTAAAACACAGACACAAATCTACACTCAGCCACTGGAATCACTCCGATCTGAGCATGTTCTTCAGGGCTCTGCTGAACGGGCCCTGGCTGTGACTCGTTGATGCCCGAGGGATGGCTCTGGGTGGCTCCGGACCCGTGAGCGCCGCGCTTGCCTCTCCACGCTTCGTCAGCCTGCAATTTTCTGCCAATTTGAATTATAGTTAATGCAATAGCCACAATGCTTCCCCAGCTAACTAAGCTGACTGTAACAGCAAGTTACACAGCACATAAAAACTTGAGTACGCCCAATTCCAAGCCTGACAAAATACAGTATTGATGCTGAAACTACATTTTTAAGCAGTGTTAAGTCCTTGGGGAGCCCCCTGGAGAGGTTGTGCTTGGTTCAGCCCTGAGCAATGTACTTGGCTGCAAACACTCAGCTCCAGCAGCAAGCCCATAAATACAAGCAGAGCTCCCAGCGTGGGCATCGTGACGGAGCAATAAAGCTAAGAAGCCCRTGACAGCAACGCTTAATCTCACCGAAGGGAGCGGCGGCTAAATGGGAAACCTGTTAAATCAACGGGAAGGGGCAGCCAGGAGGGCTGCTGGGCTCGCTCCCGCGAAGGGGATTGAAAATCCAGGGCAAATCCACGCCATCTATCAGAGCAAATCCCCCTAAAGGGCTGGATAAAGGAAGCTGTTAGAAACAAGGTGTTCTTTACAAAAATGAATGCTGTTTCTAAACAAGGGAATATAAAGACCTCACGAATTTTGGACTTTGTTCCGATTTTGTTCTGATAAAGTCTAAAGATCCCATTTCAGATTTATTATTTAGAAAATTCCCTTTTCACTTGCTTTGTTTTYACTTATTCCATTGCTAGCTCCCAGGTGCGGAGTCTCCCTGTGTCTCCCGCTCCAGCCAGGAGAGTTAACGCTGTTCCCATACAGCTGCTCAGCCTTCATTTCTGGTCTGCACAAACACGGACACTTTCATTTTGTTGCCCCATTTGGAGCAAAAGCAAATGCAGAGGCGGGTCTTTCCTACACATTGGATGTGTCCCCTGAATCCTTATCTGGGAATCCCTTGGCAGGTCCTCCTGGTGGTGATGGGCAGCTCGGAAGCAGCGCTGCTCCCAGGACTGCTAATGCTCCAAACTTCCAGCTCTCCAGGCAGGCTCCCCAGCCACGACCCCTCCRTGCACATCTAGAAACCATCAGCAAGAGCAATTTGGCTCTTGAAAATGCCCACCAGCTGCTGCTGGAATGAGTCCGTTTGCCCACGAACCCAGGGGCTGAGGAAGCAAATTGATACCTGCGATAAATTGGTCACGGTGGCCAGAAGTCACCTCAGCCCAAGAGCACGTACCCGCATCCCCTCGCCTTGTCCCTGTCACCAGTCCCCATGTCCAGGGCCATGGACATGTCCAGGAGAACTTCTCTCCACAAGAGTGAAGGCCCCCAAGGGCGCTGGGCAGGAAGCAGGGCCCTAGGGACACTCCTGCAGCAAGGCAAGGAACGAGAGCCTTGGCCTTTGTCCCTCAGGGCCAACACCAGCATCTTCTGCGATCCCGGCACTGCAGGATACTGTTTTTCCAGCCACACTGCAAGAGCAGTTAGCTCTCACAAATGAAAGAGGTTTGTAATTTTTCTATTCCCTCCATGCGGGTTTTTGTTCTAATCGCCMAATGTGCGAGTTGTCAAGCTCTTAATCAAAAGGCTTTCTTTTCAAAGAACGTTTTAATTTTTGTCTTCCTAAGATAAGTTGCAATTGAGACTGATTAGCTGRGAATTTTTGCTAGTGGCTCATTTGATGCTGCTCTATTATTGCTGTTGTGTTATTGCTAATGCTGCTSAATCAGAATGGGCACAGAAGCCCCAGAGGGTGACTGGAGAACAGCACAACAGTCCAGGCAATCAGACCAGCCCCAGCAGTTAGTTACAGCMATGGAGATCTTGGTATTTAATGGAAAATCTTCAGAAAATAAACTCTGGGGCAAGCTTTGGGGGCAAATCGTTGTCGCACACACCTGGGCCCTCCCTCACTTCCCATGGGGTTTTTCTTACTGCTTTTGGGTTTTCTGTCCTCCCCATCTCCCCCAAGCTTCTCATTTTTGGCCCCTTCCCGTGGTGGCTTCGCCTGGCGACCTGAGCAGACACAGAGCTGCTTTCTGCTGCTGGTTCCACTTCCTCACCACGTGAGCAGCAGCGTGGAGCCAGAAGGAAAAGAAAAAGCATCTGCGCTTGCTGCAGCCTGTCTTCAAAAGCAGCTCGTCCCCCTCTTGAACACTTGWTAAATGCAGAGCGAGCTGCTCCAGTTCTCTGACTCCTCCTAATGCAAACTCTGCCAAGCGAAGGTTATGGGTCCACTGCATCCCCAAAAGCACCCACAGGAAAAGCGATTAGCTAATTGGGTTAATTTTGATCAGGAATAGCTACAGCATCATCTAATGGCTGGAGGCTGAAGCTAAACCTAGTTGGACTAGAAGAAAGATACAGATTCCTGAGGGGAATTCACCACAAGGGAAAAAATCCAGCAAGGGTTAATGGATTCATTTGCCAYGGGAAGCTTTAAAATCAAGATCAGATTTTAATTTATGTAATAAATTCTCCTTTTACTACAGGTGGGGTCTTGGAAATAGATATAATTGCAAGGAAACCCAGGGACTGACTCTCCCTCCGGATGGCGCGAATGATCCGATGTTTTCCTGTGGGAGATGCCAAGTGCTGGGACCCGGTGGTTCCCAGCAAACTGCGCTCGCAGGCCGGACGGCAGCGAACCCCCTGGGCCGTCCTCCACAGCCGGCACCCCGCAGCTCCCTGCACACGCCAACGTGGCTAAAACCACGGCCTGCAGCCCTACCAACTTCTAAACGCAAAAASAGGAGTTTGTGCAGCCTGCCATCTGCAAGAGGAATTACTCACTATCCTATGGAAAACCAAGCGGTGGCCTCTGCACGCACGATGCCACCAGCGTCCTCGTGGAAACGCACCACGACGCAGCTCAAACCAATGTGTCTAGGAGTTATTTCCCTCCTGTCCAGTATTCCTTCTAGAGCTACAGTCAGCTCTGCTGGTGGGGAAATGTTATCCTGTGGCCTGCACAGTCACAGGAGGCTGGAAGAAGGATTCGGACAACGCGGGTTAGGCAACGGCAGCAGGTTTCCACGCAGCCTCTCAAACCTGGCACAAGGGCAGCAAAAAGGCTCCCAAAAAACACACAAGAGCCCTRTTAAAGCTAAGGCCACAGCTGGGTGGCCATGGCTTTCCTACAGAGCCTTAAATACCCCCAGCTCCCCTCTTGGCTGCCAGTGCTGCCTCTCCCTTGCTCTCAAGCCTTCCCGTGCTCCTTTTTCTGCAATTTTCAAGTATCGTTTTCCTGCTTCTCCTCCACTCCTATTCCCAAGGCAACTGTCATGTGTAAGAGCCACTCAGGCAATGCACCAAAGGGATAAATTCGCTATACGTAGGATGGGCATCGAGATGGATCAGCGAGCCTAATAAAGAAGCTGAAAAACAAGGAAAAATGATGTTTTTTCCCTTAATCCTTCTAAAACAGGGATTTTGTGTGTTGTGTTGCTTCTGATAACAGAAAGGAAAACAGTTTTGGAAAGCAAGGTGATGGTGCTAAGCGGGCGGCACTTGCCCCGTGTCACCGTCACGGATGCTTCTCGTGTCACGCCAGGCCAATCCGGGCCCTGGGCGCGCGGAGCGGAGCTGGGGTGACCCGAGCACCCGTGTGGAGCAGGGGGTGCCCGGCCGCACTCCCAAACTCCCAGCACGGTGGGTTGTCCGAGCAGGACGCTGGAGTGGGACGGGGCGCCCTGTCCGCCTGTTTCCTCGCGGCTCCGGGTGTAGCTGCGACGCTGGTTGTGCAGCACCAGTGTGCCTGCAGCAACAYCAGCACCACCAGCAGCCGTGTCCGCCTGCTCCCCGCGCCGGCTCTCCCAGCCCCGAGGCAGGAGCCCAAAGGCCGGGCGCTTCCCGGGTGTCTCTCCGCAAACTGCGTCCTCCCATGCGGGAAGGGAGCCAAGGCTCCCGCGATGCCCAAGGGCCCGCTCCCCGCTCCTGCTGGGAACCGTCGCCTTCTGCCTCGGGGCTCCGAACGGATACCAGTAAAAGCGTCCAGCATCAGCCTGATGTGACCACRGGCTGGTTCCTCCTCAGAGCCTTTGTTCACATGGATCTCTAAAAGGCACCAGCAGAACCCAAGGAGGGGCCGGCTTTACAGGGCCCGTGGAAGCCCCACGATGTCCCCAGGAGCTGCAATTTCCCAGCATTGACACAGGCACCAYGAACGCTCCCGGCGCTTCTCCAACACGGACATAAGCCCTCGGGGGCCTTCCCAGCAGCAGGAAAAAAGCCTCGGGACCCCCATTCCTGCCATGTCGGRGGCTGCCTCATCCTGTCTGGAGAGCTGAGAACCAGACGGAGCCTCCAGCAGCAGGGACAGCCCCGAATCCGCCACCGAGAAATAAATCACAGGGAGAAGCTCCCCCGGCGCCAGCCTTAGTGACTCACTACTCTTCATCCCACAGTTTAAACCATGATTTTGGTTTCTTTCTCTGTGTTACCTGCTGCAAGGTGAGGCTGCTCGAGCAGTACCTGGATCATCAGGGCCCAGCRTGGACGGAGGCACCAGCGGCTCCACACAAAGCAGCAGCCCTGGACAGACATGGACACCAGCAGGAGAGGGAAAGGAGGGAGCAGTGCAGGGCGCTGCCCATGGGAGATGCTGAAAGGGACATTGTGGAGCGCTTTGAGCATGAAAACGAGACCC